GGCTTCATGCTCGTCAGAAAGGGATCGAGAGTGAGCTAGCAGCAGCTCCCTCATTTCAGTTGTCGATGATTCAACAACAATTGAATGTAGAATATGCTTCTGTACTCCGGACGGAGGAAAGTTTATGGCTCCAAAAATCACGCCTCAAATGGTTGGCCGATGGGGATAGATGCACCAAGTTCTTTCATACTTTAACAAAGGTTCGTCATAAACGAAATAGAATTGAATGCTTGAAAGATGATCAAGGAAACTGGGTCACATACCATCGGGGAATTTTTATGCTATTATCTTCTTGTTTGAGTGAATTATTTGCACCGAAAACCACTAGCCGGCGAATCTTACTTCCCCTGGTGATACCTCGGCCACCCTTGAGTCAGAACACTTGCAGGTCGCTGACATACCCTATCTCACTCGAGGAAGTTCAGGCAGCAGTTTTTGGCATGAAAGCTCCTGGCCCCGATGGATTCTCTCCTATATTTTATTAGAGGTTTTGGGAGAAACTCACAAAATGGGGTATGGAAATTTGTTGCAGAGGCATTTCAAACTGGCTCTTTCAATGCCTCTGTGGCAGAAGCTCTAGTGTTGTTGATACCTAAAGAGCAATTACCCAATGCCCCATCACAGTTTCGTCCTATCTCTTTGTGTAATGTGCTTTTCAAGATTGTGATAAAGACACTTGTTAACAGGTTACACCCCATTTAGATGAATTGATTGGGCCTACTCAAGCTAGTTTTGTTCCAGGAAGAGCTACACATGGCAATGTTGTTATTGTTCAAGAGGTGATACACAACATTAGGAAGAGAAAGGGAAAGAATGTTGCCATGATTATCAAACTTGATTTGATCAAAGCATATGATCGGCTGAGTTGGGAGTTTGTATAGGACACTCTGGTGTTCTTTGGGTTTCCGGAAAAGTGGATCAAGCTAATTATGTTCTGTATTTCCCAAGCTAAGTTGGCTATTATGATCAATAGTGCACCTACAGAGGGATTCTCTCCAACTCGAGGACTGAGACAAGGTGATCCTCTATCACCATATTTATTCTCATTATGTATGGAAAAATTATCAATGCCAAGGTAGAAGATGTAACCTGGCAAGCAGTACAGGTTAGCAGAAATGGATCAAAGTTGTCTCATCTCTTCTTCGCATGTGATCTTCTTTTATTCGCTAAAGCTAATAATCAACAAGCCACTGCTATCAAAGGGGTATTTGAAGTGTTTTTTCAAGCTTCAGGGCAATTGGTCAATCCCTCTAAATCCGTGGTCTTCTTCTCCCAATCAAGCCCACTTGTTGCCAAAGCTGAGACTTCTACCACATTGGGAATTCAAATGAACCCGAATCTCGGCAGATATCTAGGAGTTCCTCTCATCCATGAAAGAAAGAGCGAGGAACTTTACTTCCCACTATTGGAAAAGCTGCAAATGGGGCTATCGGGATGGAAAAGTTGCATGTTGTCATTGGCGGGAAAGGATACTTATATAAAATCTACACTTTCTGCATTGCCGATCCACACTATGTAATCAACGTGGCTACCTGAGGAGACTTGCAAGCAGTTAGACAGAGTAGCTCGGAATTTCCTTTGGGGAGGTACTTAAGAGCAACGAAAGATGGCGCTCGTCAAATGGCGTACAGTGACAAGGTCAAAGAATGGTGGAGGATTGGGCATTAGACGATCACGCGACACAAGTACAACCTTGCTAGGTAAATTGGCATGGTTATTTAAAATCCAAAAAGATAAATTATGGGTAAAAGTTTTAACACATAAATATGGAGATTTGAAGAAGGTTGGCCAAACAGCTTCGATGCTTTGGAAGGGAATTGTCAAAAGCTAAAACCTCCTCAAAAATGGATTTCGCTGGAGAATTGGGACATGTTCAGATATCAAATTTTGGAGTGACACATGGTTACCATTTGGTCCTTTGCTAGAGTTACCAGAGATTGATGGGAGCGGGATCTGTTGGAAATTTGGTTGAACCAGACTAACCAAGTCAAATCGGTTTTGGGTTGGACCGACCAATCGGTTTGGTATTAGACCAACCGAAACGATATTCTAATTCCATGAAGGGACACATCCCTTTGGCTTAGTGGCGGTTGCATTACTTTATGGATAAGGATAACCTTATGGATAAAGGCAACCCTTCATATGGATAAGGATAACTTTTCATATGAATAAAGACAACCTTTCATATGGATAAAGGCAACCTTTCGTATGGATAAAGGCAACCTTTCATGAAACAATGCATGGATTCGGACCCTATAAATATGTGTGGGGTGGATGATGCCACATGCCATCAAACATATTCTTCTTCTTTCTTCCAAAAATTTCTAAGTATGCTTTTGTTTTCTTGAGCCTAGAACCTAAAGTGGTGATAGTTTTATCCTCGAGAGAAATTTCCTGTAACCCAAGGCTTTGTAGAGGGTGTAAATATTCTTTTCGGAAAGTGAACGTTGTTCACAACTCTATCATAATCCTAGTCACCCGGTCTCGGGCTATCGTACGTGTACCCTCGTCCCAAAAGTCCCAACAATCGTAAAGAATATTTTCCGGTACGATGGCTCGAACCGCTCTTTACTAGAAACTGGTTCCCGTCTATAGAATTATGAGAATTTTCGATGATGGGTATTTAATCGATGGTAGTAGAAGATGGTTGTTCTTCGTACTAGTCTCATTGTGTATTCCATATCTGAAAGGTAACTTGGAAGAGGTTTCGCGAGGATGGGTCAGATGGAATGAGATGCATGGGACACATAAAGTAACGAGCCCGATTGTAATAGCGCCTGCTGCTTGATTTGCAATCTTTTTTAGTTGTCCTCTCATGAAGTTGGTGTTGTCAGTTTTACCGTTTGTGTGAGAATAAATTTCAGTCAAACGTGTGGTTTGGTGTTTCTCAATAAAGTGGGTATTTATGTTTTTGCTAATGATTATCGGGAAATGTGTGGCTTGGTGTTTAGCAGGTAAGTTTCGATGACCGTACTCTGATGCCACTTGTTGCTTGAATTGAGGGAGGGATTCTTGTAAGGAAGTGGTTAAGTACCATACATGGGCCTGTATAAGATCCAACATAACCTTATCCCAACAACTCGAGTTATTGGGATCAATTTGTTCTTGACATGGTATCAGAGCATTCTGTGACCAAGAGGTCTTGTGTTCGAATCCCGATGACTCCCATTTGTGAAGCACATGTATTCTTGTGTTCAAACCTGTGAAATCTTCAAGCCCTTGTGAGTGGCTTTCGTTTGAGGGGGCGTGTTAGTGTGTGGTATATGATACACGATTGAACCTCTTCCAACAACTCGAGTTATTGGGACCAACTGGTTCTTGACATGGTATCAGAGCCTGGAACCGAAAGGTCATGCGTTCGAATCTCCACGACCCCCAATATTAACTGTTGTCTTTCAAGCACATGGTATGGTGGGCCTGTGCAAACTTCAAGCCCATGGGTCGGCTTTCGTTTGAGGGGGCGTGTAAGGAAGTGGTTAAGTACCATACATGGGCCTGTATAAGATCCAACATAACCTTCTCCCAACAACTCGAGTTATTGGGATCAATTGGTTCTTGACATGGTATCAGAGCATTCTGTGACCAAGAGGTCTTGTGTTCGAATCTCGATGACCCCCATTTGTGAAGCACATGGATTCTTGTGTTCAAACCTGTGCAATCTTCAACCCCTTGTGAGTGGCTTTCGTTTGAGGGGGCGTGTTAGTGTGTGGTATATGATACACGATTGAACCTCTTCCAACAACTCGAGTTATTGGGACCAACTGGTTCTTGACATGGTATCAGAGCCTGGAACCGAAAGGTCATGTGTTCGAATCTCCACGACCCCCAATATTAACAGTTGTCTTTCAAGCACATGGTATGGTGGGCCTGTGCAAACTTCAAGCCCATGGGTTGGCCCTCGTTTGAGGGGGCCTGTTAGAGAGTGGTATAAGATCCAGCAGAACCTTCTCCCAACAACTCGAGTTATTGGGACCAACTGGTTTATGACATGGTATCAGAGCTGGTTTGTCCTTGAGGTCACGTGTTCAAGTCCTCACGACCCCCAATATTAACTGTTGTCTTTCAAGCACATGGTATGGCGGTCCTGTGCAAACTTCAAGCCCATGAGTCTGCTTTCGTTTGAGGGGGCGTGTACGGAAGTGGTTAAGTACCATACATGGGCCTGTATAAGATCCAACATAACCTTCTCCCAACAACTCGAGTTATTGGGATCAATTGGTTCTTGACATGGTATCAGAGCTTTCTGTGACCGAGAGGTCTTGTGTTCGAATCCCGATGACCCCCATTTGTGAAGCACATGGATTCTTGTGTTCAAACCTGTGCAATCTTCAAGCCCTTGTGAGTGGCTTTCGTTTGAGGGGGCGTGTTTGTGTGTGGTATATGATACACGATTGAACCTCTTCCAACAACTCGAGTTATTGGGACCAACTGGTTCTTGACAATTTTTACCTTCTCTTTTCTCTTTTTATTTTTTATTTATTTTGTGTTTATCCACTGAAACTAGAACCCGAAACCCTTAGAACACAAAGGGGTAAAGACACTTTTGACCAAATTTGTGTAGAATTCACTAGGAGTTAATTGTTTGTGACGTATAGGTAGGGCTGGCAACCGGTCGGTTTCGGTTTAACCGAAAATCGAGATTAACCGAAAACTGAAATCTCGGTTTTTGGTTAAACCGAGACCTGACCAATGACCACCGTCAACCGAAAATTGATGGGCGGTTTGGTTTAACTGCCTGACCGACCGACAACCCCCAAAACCCGACCGGTACCCGCCACGAACCGACAGTTAACCGCCAAAACCGACCGTTAACCGGTCAAAACAGACCGGACAGCAAAGGGAAATGATCAGATTTCGGGTTATGGGTCTTACTCTTCTCCAAACCCGACGATGCCTGCGACTTCTTGATCGAGAAATCCCCAAACCTCGGCTTGAAATGAAGCATGAAGCTAGGGTTCCCCTTCCCGACCAAATTGAACTCCGCGCTCATCACCATCGGGCTAGACGTCGGACGACCCGGACGACCCCGACCCCGTCTTTAGCACGAGGGAGAGCGGATTCCACGAATCGTTGGGGCGGTAGGCGACCTTGAACGACGAACCGGAATCAAAGAACGTCGAGAGGTTGAGGGAGAGCTCCTTGGCTTCGTCGGCGACGATTCCGGATTGGAAAGGCAAGCCCAGAATGCTCAGCGGGACCTTGGCTCGGAACAATGGCTTCTGCTCGTCGTGGAATTTGAGGGAGGCGACGAGTGGATTGGAGGGAGGCGGCGGCCGGCGAGGCGATTGGAGGCGGAGTCATCGTCGGATGTGCTGTGGGAGTGGCGGCTGAGGGAGGATGGAGACCTAGAACAGAGGGTCTGAGGGAGAGGGAGGATGCTAATGATGGAGATGGGGTTGGGTCGTTTCAGCTAGGCCAAAACGGTGTCATTTTTTCGGTCGGTTAGCCGGTTAACCGGCGTCGGCTAACCGCCTAACCACTTAAAGCATCCGCCAACCGACCGCCCCTGTTATTTTCGGTTACCGGTTAGCCTCTAACCGGTGGTTAACGGTTAGACCGGCCGGTTAGCTGCTAACCGGCAACCGAAATTACAGCCCTACGTGTAGGGCTGGTAACCGGTCAGCCGATTAACGGTTTAATCGATAATCGACGGTTACCGGTTAACCAATAACCGACGGTATCAGGATACGGCAGACGAAACCTAGCTGTCGGTATACCGACCTATAGCCGGTAAGTAACCACCGGTTACTCGGTATAACCGAGTATACCGATATAGGAAAAAACCCTCCCCTGTCGATCAGTTCACTCCTCTTCCTCTACCCTGTTCGCTCCTCTCTCTCCATCTCTCTAAAAAAGTTCTCTCTTTCCTCCACAAACATAACCTTCACCATGAGAGATTATATGAAACTCCCTCATCTCTTTCTCGATTTGTTGATTTGGACCATGGCGTCACCGATTCGTCATCGTCAAAGGGATGCGCCATCGTCGGAGAGAAGGCATGAGCGATGAAATTGCTGCTCGCCCAACCTTCACTAGACCTGGCCACTTCTAATCCAAGGAAGTACTTCATGTTTCCCAATTCTTTGATCTTGAAACCTTTCTTCAAATGCAATTTCACCGGCTGAATTTCATCTAGATCAGGGCCTGCTAGAAGTATGTCATCAACATACACAATTACGACTACGGAAGGTGTCCTGAACACATAATAGTCTTCATATGATTGCTCAAATCCCAGACCTTTCAAGTATTCAGATAATTTAATAAACCACTGTTTGATTGCTTGTTTTAACCCATATAGGGATTTCCACAGCTTACAAACATTTTCCTTCATACTGGCGCTGCGGCTGCAGAAATGGTTGCCCCTGTCTGGGCTGGTAAGGTTGCTGCTGCGGAAATGGACCCTGCCTGGCCTGGAAAGGCTGCCTCTGCTAAAAACCACCTGCTGGTGCTGGGAAACCAGGTGGTTTAGTGGTGTTGTTGTTATTCCAGGAGAAGTTGGGATGCTGGCGCCACCCTTCATTATATGTACCACTATAAGGATCAAGGCGCCGAGCATTGGCGATGAAGTCCAACTGCTCCTGGGGTGTAGAAGACTCCCGCATAGCCTGGCAATCTTCCACCAGATGGTTCGAGCTCTCACACCACCAACATTGAGCAACTGGAGGCCCGACCAGTCCTCTGCCCGGAATAAGATTGTTGGGCTGTCTCAATGTCTGGACTAACTCAGCCACCTCCCGCTCTAGCCCGGACCTGGCCTCCATGACGTGTACTCCTCGGTCCTGGGAACTCATGCTTCTGGTGCTCTGCCCCCAAGAGTGATCCCTGGCAGCCCGAGTGCTAAATCATCTGATTCAGCTCGGGTGGAGTCTTGGTAAGAATATCCCCTCCTGTTCATAGAGACTCAATCACCCTCTGGCTTTCTGGGGTCAGAGCGCTGTAGAAATTCCCCACTGTAAATGCATCACTGAAGCCGTGATGGGGAGATTGCCAGAAGAATCCCGAGTACCGCTTCCAGGCATCACGTAGGGACTGATCTGGCTCCTGACGGAAATGAGTGATCTCCCGCTGAAACTCCGTGGTCTTCGAGGCCGGATAATACCTGTGCACAAATTTGTCGGCCAAGTCATCCCACGATGTGATGGATAGTGGGGGCTGGGTCTCTAACCACCTCTTCGCATGCCCCGCCAGAGAATGGGGGAAAAGGTGGAGACGGATTGCATCATCGGGTACACCATTCATCTTGAATCCATTTGTCAGCTGCAGGAACCGGGAAAGATGCACCGTTGCCTCCTCATCTTTCAAGCCATGGAACTGGATAGAGGATGTAATCAGTTGAATCCAGCATGACTTGATCTCAAAGTTGTTTGCTGGAATGGGCGGATATCAGCGACCCATGGAGTGTAGTAGTACTCCATGGTAGGACCCGGCGGGGGTGGTGGAAGACGAGCCCCATCTGCCTGGGGGACTGGGTTGTTCCTCAGGATCTGATTCACTGGGGTAACCTGGAGAGGCATCCCCTGGGGCGGGTTTTGCGCACCGTCCATCTCGTACTCCTCCTCAGAATCGCTGCTCAAGTGGCCGTCGATGCGCACTTCCTCCGTAGCCAGTCTCGCTCGTTGTTGTCTCCTTAGTTGGCGACAGGTGCGTACTAGCTCCGGATCTAACAGTAGTAAACCTCCCGACTGGCTACAAGTTATGCACTACCTGCACACAGCCAAGCAAGCAAACCTGTGAAGGCACAAGCGGGAAAAAGCAAACAATCAATGCGGAAATGGAAATGCTAAAGTAAAAGAAATCACGTTTCTTCAACAACCTAGCTGTCCCCGGCAACGGCGCCAAAAACTTGACACGCCTCTACCATTACACTAGAAAGTGGCCAAGTGTAACCACCTACCAATGCGTAGTATAGCGGGTTCAGTTCTAATTGTCAACCCAGGTCCTAGGTGTGATGACTACTCCGTGAAAGTCTTGTTATCTAGCGGTTCAAGTGTAGGGAAGGTTTAGTTAAACTAGCAAGCAAAGCTGTGAAAGTTGTGTTCAAGTTGAGAGAGGTCGCCCGGATATGGTTCCCCCTAGACTGCAGTTAAGCCAGGTTGTAATTTACCAAGTTCAAGTTCAATGATAGTTATACTGCAGGAGGTTCTTAAACAGTCTGCAGTCTCGACTAAAGGTCTCTAGACCCTCTCAATCTGAGTCCCCAGCGGGCGACTAACCTCCACCGGAGTAAACAGATTGAGGCCCTAACGAACCAAACCTCCTCTACCGAAGTAAAGCTGGTACAGAATAGTGAATTGACTCCTAGACTAAAGTCATCAATTCACTACCTTCAATCAAGGGTGCTCTATCAACCTAGGCAGATATTCTCTTTCTAGGTCAAAGCAGAAATAACCGGAATTTGATCAGGATCATGCCATTCAAGAAATCAAACCTCAATTGAATATAATCATATCATTGAATTCATACTTGGGTTCATACAATTAGACCTAACATACAAATCTATGGTTCTTCATACCCAGGTGAATGGGAAAGTTACTCCATATAGAGAGAAGGGAAATCTAGCTCAGATGCAGAAACCATACTGAGAAGGATGGGATTCTGCTTCTGGCACTCAATCAGCACTTCTCCAAGCTCAAGCCGGGCTCCAATGGTGATGAAGATCGATCTAGGGCGCTTAAAGAATTAGGTTGTCACTTTCTCTCTCTAGGTATACGCTTTGTCTCTCTAAAATTCGGGACCCCTCCTGTTTCCTGGCGTTCAAAAATGGTTTTCCTCCATCACCCTTCTACTCCAACGTCCTCCTTTGACCCAAACTCGTTTCCTCGCCTTCACGTCAACGCCAAGTCCTGAAATATGACATAAACACACAACCTAGCGTAAAATCGGCTTAAAACACGAGAATCGACTCTCAAACGGCTCAAGAATGGAGGTATAAACATGTGTAATTATTGGTGTATCAACCTACCTTTTTCCTCCTCCATCACTACCATCGCCGCCACATCACCGCGACCGCCGACGTCACTCACAATAATCAAATTGAAGGACCCGCTCCCAATGATAGTGAACCTCATCCCTCCCTTTCTTATGCACGCCACCCGCCTGTACATAACCGGAACGATCCATGCCCTGTACTGCGCGATGTGGAGAAAAATCAGCTCAGAGAGATCGAAATGCTCCAGCGGTTGGTTGCACCAGCCGACGTTGTTATTCGGCTCGGCGAAGTTCGGTGGGCAGAGGTTCGTCACTGTGATGGTGATCACGGCGTGGATGCACCACTGGGCGTCTTCCACGCAGGTGATCTCGAAGCAGGCGCTGTAGGCACTGCCATTGTTGAACAGAGTTGTGCTTAGTGCATCTGTCTTCATGTCGTAGCCTTGGTTTTATAAGTTTCCATAACCGCAAGCTCCCCCTGCGAAACACAAGGTAAAAGAAAATAAATTAATCCCAGAATTGTGGATTTTGGAAACTAGGGTTTTGAAATTGAGATTTTAATTAAATTTGGGAATCATGGATCTTATTCAATTTGGTTACCCATTGTGCCCGAGGCAACGCCACTGCCGTAGAAAGTGGCGTCAGCATGAACCCAGCTCCCGGAAACACCATGGCCTTTCTGGTGGTGCTTCTTAAAAAGCAAGGTTTTTTTCAAGTGGGCTTTATGGAGCAGTGATTTCTTTGTTTGATGTTTGTTATGCAAAGATGTCTTTCCATGTCCATGGATTTGGATCAAGTTCGACAGCGCAAGGAGAGCTAGGATTTTGCATAAGAAAGAGAGCGATGAGGTTCATGATCACCAGGAGCGGGTCCTTCAATTTGATTCTTGTGAGTAATGTCGGCGATAGTGGTGACGTGGCGGCGATGGCGATGATGGAGGAGGAGAAAGGGTAGGTTTAGGTGTTTATAGAATAATAGGAATTAAGTTTTGTTTTTATTTTTTAATAGTTATAAAATGATGTGGAAATTATAAATTTTTAAATTATATTATTTTAATATTTTTAATGGTCACGTCACTCATTTAACGGTCAACTATAATAGTTGACTGCCACATCAGCAAAAACTAACGGAGACTAACGGAGAGTGACCAAATTTGAACTTTTGAACTAATCTGAGTGACCATGAATGCAATTAAATATTTGAAGTGACCAAACATGAACATTTTTAGTAAACTCAGTGACCAACCTTGTAATTAACCTAAATCAATACCATATGTCTGTGTATAACCCTTAGCTATCAATCTGGCTCTACGTCTTTCAATTGACCCATGTGTCAGGAATTTGGTCTTAAAGACCCATTTGTTTCCAACAACCTTCTAACCTGGAGGTAAGTCAACTATGTCCCAAGTTTTGTTCTCTTCCAAAGCATCAATCTCTTTGATTGTTTGCATCATTCCAACATCTTTTTTTTTTGTAGAAGAGATGACGCATTGCGTCTAGTGTATTAGATTAATAGAACGTTCTTGGGCAATGCCCATGACATCATAATACAACCAGTTTGTAAGTCCCGGGTTGCACACATCGAAGAGATATGTGCCATAAGGGGAGTTGTTACCTAAACTAGCAAGATAATCAGCAACAAAGTTTGATTCTCTATATACATGTGAGCTTCTAACCTCCCAATCCCGGTTCAAAAACCTGCGAAACAAGGCCAACCTGACCGTGCCTGTGTTCATCATTTGCATTTTTCCTAATGATTGAGATTGTTGTCTCCGAGTCGAGATTGAGCTCGACTCTCCTGTAGCCCTTATCCCACGCAGTCCTAAGCCCTTCGCTGGCACTTTTCAGTTCAGCACTGGTAATCAAGCAGCTTCCCAAATTACAGACGAAAGCGCAGCTGCATCTGCCAGGTGATCACGAAGAAGACCTCACGCCGCAGCCTTCCCTGTTCCACTATGAACCGATCCATCACTTTGGAGCTGGATCCACCCAGCTGGTGGTGGTTTCCAGGCAATGTCCTTTGTTCGTATGTCTCTCCTTGCTTTCAAAGAAGTGCTCTTCACAAATTGGTGCGCATTCCTGATGATGCTGAACCAGGCATTGATTCTGCACATCAGACCTTGTGTAGAGAACTTCTTTCCCTCCATCACTTCCTCGTTTCTCTGCTTCCAGAGATGCCGGAAAACGAGCCCGAAATTGACTCCTTTCTTCTCGTCCATCAGGTTCTTCAGGGGCCATTCTTCCAACGGCAGCTGCAAATTCCTTTCTTTCATTTTGTTCCCAAGCTTGTTCCAAATTTCTGTAGCTCTGCTGCAGCTTCTAAGGATATGCTCGATCGTCTCTGTTTTGTCCCTGCAGTGGTGGCAGTTATCATTCATAGTGATCTTCCTTCTTTTGCGCTCTTGGTTCGTCATCAGACGATCATGGAACACAACCCAGAAGAAGTGCCTGACCCTGTTGGGTCCTTTCCATTTCCAAATACTCTTCCAGCTGGTTTCATTGGTTTCCTCATCATCTTCATTTGGTGCCGCCAAATAGTATGCCGACTGATAGACCGTTATTTACACCGTTTGAGATGTTGATTCTCGTGTTTTAGGCCGATTTCACGCTAGGTTGTGCTTGTTTGTGATATTTCAGGTCCTAGTACGTGAATGAAGGCTTAGGAGCGAGTCTGGGGTCGATTGGACGAAGATCGGACCAATGGCGAGGTTTCAAGGAAGCTGCACGGGCAGACCATGGCATCGCACGGCCGTGCGAAGGCCAAGCCAGGCCGTGCGGAATTCTGCGAGAGCATGCACGGGCAGGCCATAATTCTCACATGGCCGTGCCATTGAGCACCCTGGCCATGTGATTTCTGCCGAGGCCGAGCACGGGCAGGCTGCATTCCTCACACGGCCGTGCAACCCTGGCCGTGTGAGATAGCTGAAGATCGATTAAACGACACGCTACGTTTTGAGCCGCACGGCCAAGGTGGTGATCTGCACGGCCGTGCGGCCTGGCCGTGCGAGTCGGGAAATCATGGTTTTAGAGCCTATTCCGAGCCAAAAGGGGCAGAATCGTGTTTTCAGAGCAAAAACAGAGCCCTAGAGAGAGAAAGTACGAAGAACACATCCTAGAAGCTGTCTTAGAGCTGGATTTCATCGAATCGAGCTTGGAGATCGTCATAGGATTGGAAATCATCGTCCCGGAGCAGATTTTCCTCATCGTTATGAGTATGACTAATCCGATTACTGTTTTCTCTTCTCTCTCTATGGAGTAGAACCCTTCTCTCACTTGGGTATGAAGAACCCTAGTTCCTTGTGTTAGGGATTTGATTGTAATGACTTGAGATGATATTACTGTTTGATTTTAATCGAATGATGCATGTTTATTGAATTGATTGGAGTCTGATCAGCTTTTCTCAATTTCCGCTACAACCTGAGATAGATAGAATCTGATTAGGTTGTTAGAGCCTCTTCATTCGATAGTAGGAGATTGGCTATACGAGAGTTAGCCAGTTTACTGCTTTGTACTAGAATTCAATTCCAGTAGTGGAGTTCTGTGTTCATAGCCTCAGCTTTTTATCCCGGTGAAGACTAGTCGTCTGCCGGGTAGTTAGACTGAGAGGGCTTGGTCAGCTTAAGAGATTCCAAGCTACTGTCGGATCTTCCGCAGTCTAATCAACAGTAAATCAACCCAGGGAATTACAATTGAACCTAACTAAGGGGCTAGGGGGACTCAATCCCGAGTGACTCTTTCCTGACTTTGAAAACCGAACAATTTCCTTGCTTTCTTGCTGCTTTTGCTTTTCACAACAATCACTCGAACTAGTTTGCTAGATAATAGAGAATCACGGAGTAAGCATTAGATCTAGACCCCGGGTTGATAATTGAACTTGCCTGTTACTGCATTCCCGGACTGCGATTACACTTGGTCGCAGTTTGGTGTTGTGTTTTGGCGTGTCAAGTTTTTGGCGCCGTTGCCGGGGAACCCTCTAGATTATTGGGGAAACGTGAAAATTTGTTACTCTAGCTTTTTATTTACTGCATTTTATCTCTTCCACCTGTGTGCCTTCACGGGTTGCTTCTACTGATTGTGTGCAGGTAGTGCATGACCCGTAGCCAGTCGGGAGAACTATTACCATTAGACCAGGAGCTTGAACGAACCTGCAAGAACTCCAAGCGGGTTCTAAAGGCGCGACTGGCTGCGGAGAAGGCGTTATCACAGCTGCAGATCGGAGAAGAAGAAGAAGGAGAGATAGGTGATCCAGAGAACCGTGCTGTGATCCCCGAGGAGCAGACCATGGGATCCTACTGGACCGCTAGAGCTGCAGACATGAGGTCACCCATTCAACACCCTCATGTCCCAACCAACAACTTTGAGGTGAGCACCTCAGTGATCACCATGCTGCGCGGTTCAGTGGTGTTCCGTGGCAAGGAGGGAGAGTGTCCTCGATCACATCTCAGGCGATTCCACGAGCTCATCGATGGAATCAAGATCAATGGTGTACCAGCAGATGCCATCCAGCTGAGGTACTTCCCATTCACTTTGGAGGGGCATGCCAAGGAGTGGCTAGACACTCGACCTCCGGGCTCCATCACCACGTTCGCCAACCTGGCGGACAAGTTCCTCACCCGCTACCATCCTCCATCCAAGACAGTTGATCTGTAGAAGCAAATTACACATTTTTCTCAGGATGAGGATGAGACCATTAGGGATGCTTGGGAGAGATACACCAGCCTCTTTCTCAGGTGTCCCAATCATGGTTTCAATGATGCATTCAAGGTGGGCACCTTCTATCACGCCCTCTTCCTGGAGGACAAGCAGCTGATTGATTCGGTTTGTGGCGGGAACATGCTGACAAAAACCCCGCCACAGTTGAATCAACTCTTTGAGGAGATGGCGGAGAACGGGTACGACTGGGGCACTGCCAGGAGATCGAGACGAGCACCTGGACGGGGTGTGCATGCTGTGGGCACCCAGTCATCTGATTTGGTGCAGGTGGTATCGAAGCTGGTTTCAGCTATCGATCGTTCTGGTTTGATTGCAGGTACCGGACAGCCGCAGGCGATGCACTGCCAGTGGTGTGAGAGCTCTCATCACACCGTGGAGGACTGTCAGGCGATGAGGGAGTCGTCCACTCCCCAGGAGCAGATGGACTTCATCGGGAATGCCAGGCGCTTTGACCCCTACAGCAACACCTATAACGAGGGGTGGCGCCAACATCCTAACTTTTCTTGGGCTGGGCCAAATCCCAGACCACCAGCTCCCCAGGGACCCCCTGGTTTTCAGAGGCCTCCATATCAGCCCAGACAGGGGCAATTTCAGCAGCCACAGCAGCCACTCTACCCGCCAAGACAGGGGCCAGTTCCACCTCAGTCGCAGGGACGACCATTTCCACAGGCAGGGGCAGCACCTGCAGCCCCAGTATAGAGTGACCCGATGGCGGAAATGAG